CATTCGAGGTCCCTGCGGAGGGACAGCTCGTGGGCCCAGGGGGGGCAACACGCTCCTTATATTGGCCAGGGAGGCTAAGCATGCATTAGTGAGGACCGAAGTTGGGGTCACTACCGCCTGTGGGGTGCGGTTCTGGGGCTCCCAGACTCGTGCCCTCTCGGCTTCCAACCACGGTTTGACACGGACAACTGGCGCTGGCCCCGTAGGGGCTCCCCTCAGACCTCACGTCAGCCTGGGGCTCGGCCTCGCAAAAACTATTATGCTTGCTCTGGTTGGTGGGCCAACGGAGCATGCTCGACAAATTAAGCGTGACTACCATTTTCTGTTGAAAATTGCCAAGTATAAAGGGCTCACGAGCGGCCGAAAATGCAGCCTTGCCCCCAGGATGGTAGGCAAACGCCTGCTCCTGGGCGAAGCGGACCGTCTTCCTTGGCCTCGCTGGGGCCACAGGCATAGCGCGGTAACTTCGCTCCCTATAGGAAACCCTGCACCTCACTCGCCTTCACATTAGCTTCGACTGCATCGTGGCTCAAGGCTGGTCCTGCCCAGCTGGGCAGGCCCTCATCTGGCGACCCTGAAGCCCTCGCTGCCGGTGTCGCCAGACTTGGCACACTTGGTGATGTCCATGGCCATTGACCTCTTTGTGGGCCAGTCGCAAGGCCGCGACTATCGGCTCCGAGGGGTGGCAGGTGCCACCAGCTGGTGGTCTTACTGTCGTAGGTGTTGCCGCTGACGCTGGTCTGCAGGAGGTAGTTGACGTCGTCTGTGGCTGGTGTGGACGTTGTCGTGGTGCTCGTTCTCGTAAGCCCGCTGCTTGTCGCTGTGCTCCTCGGTATTCTCGCCGCTGCTACGCTGCTCGTCGCCACAGCCACTCCAGGGAGGCTAGGGTCTAACATGTGCAGGTCGGACGAAACATTGTGCGTCAACATATACTCAGCTCTCTGGATAGCAGCTTCGCCACTGTCCACAATCCATTGCCATGCCCATTCTGGAAGATACGGCTGTCCGAATGCCAGCAATATCAGCCTTCTCGACGTGAGCTCCTCTATTGGTGCGCACATATGATGGTGCCATTCGCGAGTCGAACTGATGAACAGGTTTCGCATCTTCAGGCTGAACTTCCCACGGTGCTCTAAACTGTAAGCCCGCACCTCCCCACATATCTGTCTTGCGTCGTCCCATAAAAGCTGGAGCTCTTCGTGCCCAAGATCCATGTACGCATGGCCTGGTGTCTCCCTCAACTTCCTGAAAGCACTTTGTCTGCCCACCGCTCAAAATCCTCCCTGGCTGCTTGCTCTCCAAGAAGATGAGCCTCCACCTGCCAACTACTTGCAGCTTCTTCCATCTCTATGATGATCGCAATGAGTTGGTCATCACTGATGTGGCACAGGCCTCTTGTGACGCTCTCACTGGAGGTGTCGTGGTAAACTTGCCCAACCATGCTCCCTGCTGCGTCTGCCGTGCCATGTGGCGTACTCTGCATCTCAGAGTCAACGTGCGACTGCTGCGGAACTGCATCTGAAGCGCTGCTGCCCTCGGCATGCTTACATGTCCCTACCACGCTCTGTGCTGCGCTGCTCCTGTGCTGCTCCATTGAATTCTGCATCAAGGACATCGTGTCATCTGTCATCGCTGTATGATCTCCTCGTTCACTACTACCGCTTAGTAGTCCTCCACTATCTCTTCCTCCTGCTTCTGGTACTTCCTGGAGGGTTCTTTTGGTGGCGATCCCACGCTGGTATCTGCTGGCGATGATGGCACGTGGATCGGCAACATCCGCGGTGTCGCTGGCCACGACTGCGGTTGCTCTGTCACTAAGGCCGCGGGCCCAGGGATCACCTCCCTCGGCGTCACCAGCGGGTCTGTGGGCGTCAACTGGCTGAAGTGCGCTGGCGCTGGCACTTGCTCCACCTCCTCGGGGATCGCCCCCCAGTTCTCCATGGGGTTGTCCTTCTCCTTGCTGCGGCTGACTCCTTCCTTGCCTTTGCCATTGGTTGAGGCTCGCCCTTCCCTCGGATCTGGTGCTTTCTTCGTGAAGCGGGTCTCGACAGGCTCGTTTGTCTCGCCTCCTCCACGGGGGGACCCTTTGGGCGACGCCCTCGGCGTCGGCGCCCTGGGTGTCGGCGGGCTGGGCTGCCATGGGGGTATGTCTGATGGCGACGGCGTCACCACCTCCACTTCCGCGCGCGGGGTCGCCAGCTGCGCCGCCTGCGTCGCACCCTCCGTCGCCGCGATGGGGCCTCCTGCTGCTGGCGTCGCGGGCTCTAGCGACTGTTCGCCAGGCGGCGACGCCAGCTGCATCGGCGGTGAGGCTGGCTGCACCTGTCGCTGCACCCCTTCCATGGCCGCCGCCAGCGCCTCCGCTGCAGCTGCCGCCTGCGACACTGTGGGCGTCGCCCTTGCCGCCAATTGGCGTCGCCGTGCCCCCCGCTTCCTCCCTCGGCTGGGTGTGGAAGCGGTCGCACCCGAACGTCGGCACTGTCATGATGCCCGGCGCTGTCGCCACTGATGGTGGCTCCATCGTACGCATTGTGGCGGGCGGGCTCGGGTATGTCTGCGGGTCCTGCGTGAACGGCGGTCATGTCACATACCGTTGCACGTTGAGTATGTGCTGGTACTCCGCCGCGTCGCTGTCCGCAGGCGTGCTGTCCGTCCATAGGCCGCCACCAGGTGAGGGGGATGGACAGTGCATCCACCTCGCGGCCTGTGGAAACCCCCCACTCCCGAGCCACGGCTGCTGCTGCTGCTGCTGCTGCGGTGGTTGGACCACAGGCGGCGTAGACGCTGGTGTCGAAGATGGCGGGAGTGATCTCCAAGCCTCGAGCGCGCTGGCACTCGTCCTGCTTGGGGCTGTAGATGTCGCGTGCTGGATTGCCGACTTCACTTCTGCCATGATAGACTGCTGGAAACTCAACAGCATGCTCTGCATCTCCATGCGAAGCTCCACTGCTGGTGCGGCTGCTGGTGCTGCTGCAGTCGGCGGTCTGGTGTCCGTGCATTTGATCGCGTGTGGTGGCATTGGCTGCGCTGCTGGCGCTAGCTGAGGGTTCCCAGGCGGCCTGCAGTTGCCCTCCCTCAGCTCGGTCATTGCCACATCCTGATCTCCAGTCTCGCCGGTCTGCAGCTGCTCGATAGTCTTCTCGAGGTGGTGCACACTTTTTTCTGCCTGCAGCCTTTTCCCTCGGAGCTCCGCTTCTTTTCTTGATATGTTCGCCAAGGCTGTCTTTTCCTTCTCCAGCTGGATTTTCAGATCTGGTAATTGAGCTCCCGAACATTCCGTCAACATATACTTCAGAATGCTGATCTCGTGCACGTCGGCTGTGGGAGTACGACCTGCTGCTTCCGCTGCGTTCATCAGTGCTCCAAGGCGGCGTATCTTCTCTTTGGCTCCTTTCTTGTGGCGAGCCGCCGCCTCCCCGTGATCGGGTGGCGGTGGCCGCACGTAGATGTGCGCGTTGGCCTCGCTCTTGGCCTCGGCAGGGGTTGCAGCAGGGATCTTCGCGACCGAAGCTGCCACTGAGCCGTCCACCTGCGACTGCCCTTCCCCTGCTCTGAGACCGTCCACCACGGCGCCGCGTGGCCGAGCGCAAGGCCTGCCCCGAGTACCAGCTGCATCCACACTGGCAGGCCGCCACGTGGTGAGGTACGGTCGGGGCCCTGAAGATCACTACCGACCAAACCACCCCAACCCAACCCGAAGGCCTCAATTTGCCCTCCATTTCCAGTGGGGGGGGGGGTCGGGGAACATCGGAAAAACACATATGGAACCCGTACCCCCCTCAACCCGAAATTCGGGTCTTCGGGTTGGGTTGGGGTGGTCTGGCAGATAGTCAGAAGAAGGAACCCTTTTCGTTGGGGAGGGGCTGACTGTATGTCCCTGTTGGAGCATGCTGGACACTGCCAGGACATACGAGGCGAGGCGTGATGGCTGGCTATCACCTCTGCTGCCCGATGCACTCTGAGCAGTGTGCGTGCCCTCGGTCTCGTCCCCAAACCCTCTCCTCCTCCTCCTCCTCCTCCTCCTCCTCCTCCTCCTCCTCCTCCTCCTTTTTTCCCTCCAGCTCCGCCTCCTCCTGCTCCTCCTCCTCCTCCTCCCTCCCTCCTCCTCCTCCTCCTCCTCCTCCTGCTCCTCCTCCTCCTCCTCCTCCTCCTCCTCCTCCTCCCTCTCCTCCTCCTCTCTCCTCCATTTCTTCATCCCCCCCGACCCAGGGTCCATTTCGATCCGATCGATCCGACTCGATATCGGCTCCAGCCGGCCCGGTTCGATTCGACTCCGATTTTCGGGCGACCGGACGCGGCCCGATGTTTGGTGGCCCCCAAACGTGGTGGTGAGAACACCCGGTGGTGAGTTTTGGGCGATTTGGGTCATGGTTTTCGAGCGTTGGCTGGCCCAGGAAACGCAAAGCCTCGTGGCGACCGCGTGTCCCCAAACCCGGTGGTGACCCAGAATTATTCTTTGGGGGAATCGGGGTCACCACCGGGTGTCTCACCACCTGGTTTGGAGACCACCAAGATGTTTCACAGCGCTGTTGTGCATCCTGGCGCAGCCGACCCGATTCGATTTCGACTTCGCGCCGGTGCGGCCCGAGTCGATGCACGTTCCGATCCTATCCGATGCTTGCTGTTCCTGCCATCCCCCCATCCCCCGTCTCGGCGGCGAGCGAGGGGTGGAAGTGAGAAGGAGAAGGCCTTCTCAGAAGGCGGCGGGACTTCTCAAAAGCCCTCGCGCGCGCCTTCTGAGAGGTTTTCGGCGTCCTCCGGGAAGGCTCAGAACACTTTTCAAAGGCCAGGGGTTTCCGAGCTTTTTGAGAACGCCCGCCACTTCTAATTTCCCTCCCGGGCTCGCCGCCGACTGATGCGTGTTTTGACGGCCCCAGGGACCGAAGAGGGTCCCGAAGGGGGTCTAGATCGAGGAGAGGCCACCGACCCAAGAGGTCCGCGCGGACCTCCGAAAGTTTATGCCTGTGCCTTGCCCCTCTCTCTCGCCGCCGATCATCCAGGCCTCCTTCAACGGGCAGCCCATCATCCCCGACTTCCCCGACAGGTGGCAGAGCGGGGACCCGATGATCCAGGTCGTCACGGACAGCTCCGGGGAGACGCTGCAGCCCGGCCGCGGCGGCAAGGAGATGCACGTGGTGCACGTGAAGTTGCCCGGCCGCGTATCGCTGCAGATCAACCGCTGGAGCTGGGAAAGCCAAAAGTCGGCCACGAGGAAGAGGAGGAGGAGGAGGAGGACGAGGAGGAGGAGGAGGAGGAGGAGGAGGGTCCGACGAAAAGAAACGGGTCTTACGCGACAGCACATGGCGACCTTACGCCGCGGCCTACGCGGGCCGCCAGCGCGTCGCGCCACATTGGAAGCGGGGCGCTCACGCACGAGCTCACGCGGGAAGTCTGCGCGCCAACGTCGGTGAGGGCGACCCCGTTTTCCTGCGTCGCTCGCCTGGAGGAAGTCCGCGCGGACCTCTTGGATCGCTGGCCCCTCCTCGATTTGGTCTCCCTTAGGCCCGTTTTCGGTTCCCCGGGGCTGTCAAAACACGCATCAGTCGGCGGCGAGCCGGGGAGGGAAGTTAGAAGTGGCGTGCCTTCTCAGAAGGCTGGGACGTCCCGCGGCCTTTGAAAAGTGTTCTGGGCCCTCCCAGAATTCTGTTGCATCTTCGGGGAACCTCGCCTGTCCACAAAATGGGTGTCTTTTTGGGGGCCCGACGCGTGCTCGATGCGGACTCGACGCGGATTTGGCGTGGATTCGACGCGGATTCGACACGGATTCGACATGGATCCGACGCGTCCGACATGGATTCGACACGAATTCGACGCGGACAGGGCCGCGACGGGACAGACAAGGTCCCCCGAGGATGCAACATAACCAGAAGGCACCGACAACCCCTCAGCAGGCGCGAGGGCTTTTGAGAAGTCCCGCCGCCCTCTGAGAAGGCCTTCTCCTTCTCGCTTCCCTCCCGCGTTCGCCGCCGAACAAGGCACCCATATACCGAAGCTCCCCGGGCCTCTCCCGGGGTGCCATCTGACCAGAGTCTTGAGGCGAGTCCAGCGGTGGCGACAAGGGGACTCCTCCGGAGGCCCAGAGAGGCAGAAATGAGCGAGAATAGCGGGGGAGGGGGAGGAGGGGGAGGAGGAGGAGGAGGAGGAGGAGGAGGAGGAGGAGGAGGAGGAGGAGGAGGAGGAGGAGGAGGAGGAGGAGGAGGAGGAGGAGGAGGAGGAGGAGGAGGAGGAGGAGGAGGACTAGGAGGAGGACTAGGAGGAGGAGGAGGAGGAGGAGGAGGAGGAGGTCGTTGCCGCTTCCTTCTCTGAGGAACGAGCCCGGCGAGGGCGACTACATCAACGTCCAGATCACGACGCCGAAGCAGCCTGGCCAGGACGGTCACTGCGGCAATTTCAACGGCAACCCCGCGGACGACACGCGCCCGCTCATCCGCTCCCGCATCGGCACGACCGGTGTCGACGCGGCTAACCTCCTCTTCGAGGTCAAGACCCGACGACGACGACGACGACGCCGACGTCGACGACGACGACGACGACGACGACGACGACGACGACGACCCAGCCAGCCTCCTCTCCGAGGTTAAGACCCCCGTCGTGAAGCCGAACCGCCCGGACCTGAACAACTGCCCGACGGAGATCATGGGAGGAAAGGGTACCCATGCCGCTACCCTTCCCTCGTGGTCCCTCTTCTTTGGGCCTCCTTAGGAGGCCCTTGTCGCCACGGCTGCACTCTCTTCGAAGTTCTGGTCAGAACGCTCCCGTGGAGAGGTCCGTGGAGTAGCGGCATGGGTGCATCTTGGCAGGGCTGGACCTAAACGTTGTTTTTCGTTTTGTTTCCGTTTTGCTCTACCTGTTTTCCTGTACCTCCCTCCCATAACGAAAAACAAAACACCGCCGAAGTCTAGCAAAACAGCCTTTAGGTCCAGACCTGCCTCGTGGTATCCCCAGGAGAAGACCGACCACGCCCGGGAGGTGTGCCTCCGCCAGTCCTCCAATGGCACCCCAGGCCTCCCACGTGGGGTCCGAGCAGATGTGGCCGGAGGATCGCACCGCACCTCGCACCTCGGCGATGCGGATGTGGAGCCCGCTGTTCTCCACGCCGGTGTCGCCGATGCGTTGCCGACGGCGCCGACGCGTGGGCGATGCCTCGCCGAGGCGGCGCGATCCTCCGACCCCAGCTGTGCTCGGAGCCCCTCTTGGGAGGCCTCTGGGCACTCGAAGCAGAAGGGACGGCGTCCGCCCAGGCTCTCGGGGGGAGCCGCGCGGAGTGCTCGGCTCGAGGCACCGATCCAAGGACTCCGCGCGGAGCCCTGCAGGTCCTTCTTCGCCTTCCGGCGCTCTCCACCCGCGGCCAAGCGGCTCCGATGTTGCCGATGCGTGGGCCCCCTCCTCCTTCTCCTCCTTCTTCTCCTCCTCTTCCTCCGCCATCCTCCATCCTTCTCCTCCATCCTCCTCCTCCTCCTCCTCCTCCTCCTCCTCCTCCTCCTCCTCCTCTGTAGGGGGCCGCGTAATGGGGGGCGAGACGTGGTCGGGACGATCGAAAGTTCTACTGCAGAGATGGGCACAGAGACCGACATAATTTCCAGTCCTTTTTGAACAGGAGTCGCTGTCCGCGCCGCCGCGGACGTTGTCCATTTGAGACACATAGGGCCCCCTGCCCAACAGCGGCCGCTGTCGGTTTTGGACAACATTTGTTCTTGGGCATCGTATTGATTTTTTCAGTATCCATCTCGGTCGCCCCAAAATTGGGCAACAGCGAGGGCTGTAGAAAGTGGGCTTTCAAAGGGGCCTTGGGGCTCGAGGCCTGTAAAGTCCGAAAAGTCCCTACGTTTCTTCCCCCCACCGATCGCCCCCTCTTTACTTCACGCCCGACTCTGGGGCCGACTTTTCGTCCTGAGCCGTTGCTTGACGGCCTCGAGGCCAGGCGAGGGCCCCTGGAAGCCGAAAACTGCCCCGAGCCCGCCGCACCGGCTTTTTGAAGCGACGGATCTCTCGGCGTGTCCCGACCGCTTCCCCCGGGGGTAGTTTTTCTCCCTCCCTCCCTCCTCCCTCCCTCCCTCCCAGCCGCCGTCCTGGCCTAGGGGCCCCGGGTGCAGCTACCCCGTAGCTGCGCGCCCCTCGGGACGGGCGGCCATACGCGCCAGCCAGGGCCTCCTCGGCGCTCCCTGGCAGGCCGTGCCGCCGCTGACGCGTGGCCAGCGCCACGGGCCGTCAGCCCCACTCCAGTGAGCCCGCCTGGCATAGGCGAGCTCGTGAACGCCGCAGCCAGGCTCGCGTGCTGCTCAGAGTGGCCTCGGCGCAGGCCACGCTCGCTCAGCACCACAGCAGCCCAGAGTACGTGCACATGTCCAGCAAGGCATCATGGCAGCGCGCCGCCTCTTCGTGGTTTTGTTCGCGCTGTGGGGTTTCTCATGCTGTTTCTACGGCCTGGTGCACAACCTGCTATCCCGATCGCAAGGGATTGAGCCGTCGCCCCTGGCGCCGCGACCGCTCTCAGTCCCGCGCTGCTTCACGAGGTGCTCAAGATCGAGAGCCCTCCGAGGCGGCTTCTCAGGCTGCCAGTCAGCCCAGCCCATCCACTACAAGGAAAGTGGCGACGCTCGAAGAAGCCAAGGCACACCGCCTCTGGACCGAGCCACCGCCGCTCGCAGCAGACAGAGAGGCTCACAGAGCCCACCTGAAGAGTGCCATGCGTGCAGTGGAGCAGCAGATATTGGCACAGGAGAAGCTCTCCACCGATGCTCCTCTTCTGGAATCCAAACGGATCGAACACTCGGTCTACCAGTTCATGCACCTGTACTCGTACCCGTCGAAGGAGAGGGTCAGCAACCAGCAGGCGTACCTCGAACGCATCAGCAAGCGCTTCGAGGCAGCCCAGGAGTCAGAACGTCAGGCAGAGGCGGCGTTGACAGCCGCACAGAGGCATCGCGAGGCCATGTCGCAGGAACTCAACCAGGCGACCTCGCTGCTGGAGAGTTTCAAGGCGTTGGCCGAGCAGGAGAGCTCTCACAGGACCGTCACGTTCGAAGAGACGCCCACGCCAGCCTCGTCGGCGACTCCTTCCCCACAGCCACCGTCGCCTTTCGCGCCGCCCGCGTCGGTGCCGCCTCAGGTCATTGCCGACCTACAGGCCAATCAGAGTGCTATGACGTCTGCACTGACAGCGCTGCAGGGCTCCATCGTGACGATTCAAGCGACCCTGAGTCAGCTAACTATTCAGCCGCAGCCTGCGGTCCCTGCAGATCCGACTACCTCGTCTCCCGCCTCAGTGCATGCAGTGCCGCCCGGTGGAGGAGCCAGCGACCCAGCGGCTGCAGGCTCCGCGGCTGCGCCGCGACCCACCACACACATCGGCAAGGGCGGCGTCATCAAGACACTTGGCAAGGTGAATGCGGCGAGGACTCGCCTCGAGCAGGCCGCCAAGGCCCCTGGGCAGCAGCGCCTGACGCTAGCCAGATCATCGAAGGCCGACGACAGCCTCGAGCCGCCACACAAGAGCCCTTGCCTCCCGCACGAGGATGCCGAGGAAGCGCTTCACGCCGACGCCATGCTCGACGCGCCAGACGCCGAGGGCACGCAGCTCCTGGTCGAGGACGCGGAGCAGGCCATCGCTGCCGTAGATCCTGCTGCAGTTTTTCGCTAACCCGAACAGCCAGAGCAGCGCGCTGGCAGCCACCAGGTCAGGTGGATGAGAATGACAGCAGTCTAACTATCATGAGCAAGGCCCTCTTGAAGGGCCTCCTGGTTGTTCGGGTTCACCTCAGTTACTACAGCCCTGTGCTGATGACGTACGTGGTTGCAAGACGAGTCCCCTATTAGACACGTCCTTTGTCTTTCGGGAGCTTTTCCGATCTTGGGATAGGCCTCTCAATCCCAATTATTGGGCCTTGGCCAAGTACTGGCACTCCACCACTATCGGGGCCTTACCAGGGCTCGTATCTATTTCAGATATCATCCCATCTGCTCTCCACGTCTATACGGACGGATCTGGTGGTTCGTCTAGGGGCAGGCCTGCTTGGGCCTTTGTGGACTTCGTCGAGGACTCTCTTGGGCACATGGCGCTCCTAGGCTTCGAGGGCGACGTCTTGGGCATCGAGATCCCTCCCCATCTTACTTCATTGGCAGCCGAACTGTATGGAGCTCAATGGGCTTTGGCTTGGTTCTTGCAGTCCTCGTATGCTAGTCTTTGCCATGAATGTGAAGTACAGGTTCATTGTGATAATTTAGAGACTCTCCGTGTTGCCAGAGGCGGTGCACTCAGCGCTTCACTACATTCTGCTCGCATTGAACTTGACAGCATTGCAAAAGTTGTTCATTATTTCTCTCGTGGTGTCTCTTGGAATCACGTATCAGGCCATTCAGGTCAGCCCTGGAACGAGATGGCGGACACAGTCGCCACGCTCGCCTCATTAGGCAAAGGTGACCTCCCGACGCCCGACGCCTCCTGGAGAAGGTGCTTACAATCACCCCAGGCGCTCCAGTGGCTGTGGCTCAGGTTCGAGCCGCCGAGCGTGCAGTCGCAGTACCCGCCCAGCGCAGGTGCAGCGATGCCTCCCTTCCTCGAGACGGCGCCCGAGAAGGCATCGGCTCTCACCTCTCTCTTGCGCTTGGACGCGCGACAGCCAGTTGCTCGCGATCCATCTACCTCAGCTGCTTCTTCCTGCCAGCTATGGGTCGCAGCGGCCAACGTGTTATCTCTTAGCCCAGGCACGCTCTCCTCGTCCTCGGCCAAGCCCTCGGGACTCTTTCTCTCGGGTCGTATGAAACAGTTGAGTTCCGCTTTCAGCCGTCACCATTCCTTCTTGATCGGAACCGTCGAGACCAGGTTTCCTCGTTCTGGGGTTTCTACTGTGGCACCGTACCACATTATCCATTCAGAAGCTGATGAACCTCGTCGGTTTGGCTGTTCTCTTTGGATCAATACAACTACCGAGGTTCTTCCCGGTGTCTTCTTGCAGGCTAAGCATTGCTGGACGCTTGCGGCGACTCCTACCTACCACCTCGTCGCTCTTCGCGTCGCCTCGTTCGCCGTGGATGTTCTCGTCGCTCACGCTCCTCACAGCAAGAAGCCAGAACAAGTCATCGGGGACTGGTGGAGGGAGGTCTCGTTCGCTATCGCTTCACATCGTTCTCCAGGTGTTGAGCTGGTTTGTTTGTTGGACGCCAACGCTCGTCTCGGTTCGATAGTTTCCCGCTATGTTGGTCCTATTGCGGCGGAGACCCAGAACCTTCCAGGCCAGTATTTTCACAGCTTTTTGGAGGAGAACGAGCTCTGGGTCCCTTCGACCTTTTTGGAGTCTGGTCAAACTTCGGCTGCGACGTGGTTTCCCCCTGGTTCCCACGGGCTTTCTGCGGGTCGCCGTGTCGACTACATCACTTGCTCGTTTGGGATCTCGGTCGCCATGCAGTCTGTCGTGTCGGATGTGGACCTCACCATATCTATATTAGATCATCTCTTGGTTGCCGCAAGTATTACAGTACCAGTTGCTTCCGTCACGCTTCCTGTGGCCAACTCGCACAAAGTCAAGTGCGACCAGGCTCGCTTTGCTGACGTGGAGGCACAGCAGCTTTTCTCTCAGCTTCTGCGGGAATGTCCTGCAGTGCCGTTCGATGTCTCGCCTTCTTCTCACTGCCAGGTGCTCACGGATCATCTCCAGTGCTGTTTGGAAACTGCGTTCCCAATGCGTACCACCAACACAGGCAGACGGCCTCGTCAACCCTGGATTTCCCAGAAGACTTTGGAACTGATGGATGCTCGTACTTCCCAGCTCCGAAGTTACCGACAGGTAGGCTTTGCCTGCCGACAACTGCAGTTGGCTCTCTTGTTCCATGTCTGGGCTGAGCCTCTTCGAGGACCATGGGCTTGTTTACGCACCAGGCAGTGGAAGTTGTCAGCTCGAACGCCAGGCGCATTTGGCACTAGATGGGGCTCGCGTGCGAGCCAGCTTTCTTCCCTCCTCAGGCCTACCCTTCTCGAGCTCTTCTACTACATTGACA